AGAATAAACAGGTCGAAAGCTCGGTAAATCAGTGTAGTAGTTAACTTCACTAAAAGATGCATTTCGTTGGAGTTTTGTACTTCTTACTTGAATTTCTATTTCCCACTCCACAATCTACTCAATTTTAGTCCTCATCTATTCGAAAATCAAAGCTATCTTGAAAATTCACAGATAATTAATTGGTTTTCAAAATGTGCTCCATTATATTCATTGAAAACGAATGATAATTTGCCTATTTTCTTGTTTCTTAAGGTGATTTTTCGTTAAAAAGCATATTTTTCTAATTACTGCTGGTGGCAACTGGTTATATCATAGTCTGTTTGACCTTAAACTTTGTTTTTCGGCTTTGCAGCCTTACTTATCACTCATAAGGTCTATCTCAGTGGTTAGAAAACCAGAAACGACAAACTGTTTAGCAACTCAGAACTGACACATTCTTTAAATTGATATTCCTTACAGTCGTCAACGGCAATAAATGTAATTAGAAATGTGAATTGTTTTAAAACTGATTCATCTTTAATCTCACTTGAATAAAATTGTAAGACCGAATCGACTGGTCAGTTTCAAACTACTGAATCATTGTGTAAATTTTTCAGAAAGATTTCACAAAATCTCATATTATACCATTTTAATTGATAAATGATGTTAGCACATGGGGCAATGTTCTTGTCATCATTTATCTTTTCAATAAACCAGTTAGTAAGCAAATTATCATATTCCTTTCTCAGTTTCAAGAAATATGAATGAATTAATTGTTGATGTTCTTTTAATCTTGAAAAACCAGAAAGAGTTTTATAATCAATAATGACGTATGGTATGAGAGACGTAGAAAATTGACTATTGGATAAAACTTGTTCATTTTTCAACAATCTTGTAATAATATTATTAAATAATTCACTATTAATTGATTTACTCAATATTCTCAATGTCATACTGAGAGGAACTCTCTAATTTGGAATAGCAATTTTATTTTTAATATTTTCATAAATCATATCTTCATGATTCATTCTGTTCCGTAAAAGTAGATAATACTTTTAGCTGCAAGATATTCTTGAAATGTACGATGTATAAATCGAAATATGACCAAATTCATTTAACAGACCTGCCTGTACTTTAAAAATGTCAACAAGTGTTGAAATCAAATTCTCAAATTTTATTTCAGAACTGATAAGTGACTGATTCTGAATATCTACTAGACATTTTCTAATTATTTCTCTTAAAATATCTTCTGTTAATCCTTCAGCTTTACTGTGTCAGCGAGTTCTTGCATTATTGATCATACCATAGTCGTATTCAGTCCAAGCACTTCTTCAATTCTTTTCTCCGATAATTCATCTCCGTACTGATTATAAATCGCAGCAATTACATTGGCCAACTGTGGATTAATTGCCAATTGGAAAATACCTTTATTTTTCGTAATATCGTTATATAATTGATCACTCTTGTATTCTTGCTTTGATAAATCTTCCATTTTTAAGAGAAATTTCTTTTATACATTCCATGTAGGAACTACAAAACGATTTTAGAGCATCATTAGACATATCTTCTATAGTTAATCTTGGAATATAAAAATTTATTTCATCAAAATAATTTCCTTCAATACGACTTGTTATAATAAATCGATTGCCAGCATCTGGACCTTCAGTACCACAGATTTCCTTTTGTTCATAAACTGAATAAAAAAGCTTGTTCGCCTTTTCATCATAATCTATTGGTCGTTCGAGTAAAGCATTTATTTCTTTCATTAATTCAGATCGATCCATATGAACAGGAATCTCATCTAATCCTTCGAAAATAACTAAAACATCTCCTTGTATTAACGATTCGATGATCATTGATGATAGCACTTTACTTTCCTCTTCATCTTTAAAAAAATTTGAATCAAGCGTAGGGTTTTCGTAAATGAACTGAAGTAAAGTTTTTTTATTGTCATTGTTCTGATTTTCTTTCAGTTGTTCAACATATTTCCAAATTGGAATAAGAATTGGTAGTCTTGTTTTAAAAAACTAAATACTGTTAAATAAGTTATTTTCCTCACCTAAACATTGCCTAGCCATGTTCATTATTAATCATTTCGATAGAGTTGTTTTACCTGAACCAGGATGACCTAAGATTATGAAATGTTTAAAGTCACTGTATGCTTGTTGAATTTGATATTATTTCGCTTCTTTGACATATGATTTTTCCAAAATATATTTTCTTAATCCATTCACTTTATTTTTAATTGAACTTGCTTCACTTTCCGTAAATATACTACTGTTAGCTAATAATACATTCAACCATTGTTCGAGCATAAAATTTCTGTAAAAAGTTTCAGGATTCTCTGTACTTCTTTCAATAATAGCTCTGTTAATTTTTTTTGTTTTATTTTCATTGAAAAAATCATATGAAAAAAGTTTACGTTTAAATTCTTCAGAAATTTCAAGCATTTTCATTGCTTTGACAGATGGATGGATTGGATCAAATTTTAATTCTACATAAACTCTTTGTAAAGGCAAACTCATATTATCTTTGGAATATCCAAAAATTGATATATGTCCATATTCCTGAATAAGTTTGTTCAGATATTTTTTAAAAATATATTGTTTTTCTTCTGTTAGTGATAAATTCTCATAGAGAAATACGGTAGCTGATTTAAGATTCTTTATAAATGATACTACAGTAGGTCTTCGATCGAGTTGCCATACTGAATTGTTTTAATATTTTCTAAAAACGAAACATCTGAGTCTCGATACAGTATTTTCTTCTTATTTGATTTGACAAGTTTATATATTGGAAGCGAATTATGATTTGTTAAACTATATTTCCATTTCAATAAGTTAGAAAAATTTAGATCAGACATTTCAGCACTATATCCAATAAATAACAAAGTTTTTGTTTCCATAAGAGCTTTCAACTTTAATTGTGCAAATTCGCTTTGCAAAATTCGATTATAATCGCCTTTATTAAAAATCACACTGTCTGACTCTTCATAATATAATTCTTCATATTTTCAAACGAATCATTAATATGATCAGTGAAATATTTGTGCCAAGTTAATGGTTTTTTATTGAGTACATCCTCAAGAAGTGAGTCATAGTTAGTTGTTAGGATTGAATATTCCAATTCTCCTATAGCTTTAATAAGTTCGGGTTTCTGGGATAATAGTTGTCTTACAGTTTCTATCAATCATGTTTTGTAAACATCAGCCTTTGTTGCATCGCTTTCCTCCTTGAAGCAACTTATAATTTGATCAGCAGCATCTAAATAGTCATCAAATATGACTTCGTTACTTTAAAACTTTTTATTAAAATAATCAATAACTTTGTCTGTGATCCACCCTGACCGGTAACATCTTTCAAGTCCATTTCTAAGTAATCCTTTGTAAAACGAAGTATTTTGCTCGTTATTTGTTGTATAAGTAGATATACCCGTACCAACAAATATTACCGCGTCATTTGAAGCTATTGCCATTTTGATTTTTTTAATTTCATCATCCATTTATTAAGCTTGTTGCTTAAGATCTATATACGTTTGAAAATAAATACAATATTAATAAATATAATATTTTATAAAAAATTTCTCAAATTTTATAATGTCAGATTAGATCACAGATATTGTTGAAAATAACCATAACGAGTATTCCATAAGGAATGGCACTATTTGTATTTTTCACTTTTCTCTGTCAATTTTGATAGTTGAAACATGAATTTTTCCCCAAAACATAGCCCATTCAATTCTCTATATGAAAATAGTTCCTGTAATATACAATCGTGAAATCCTATGCAACCAATAATAGTATGCGCCTGAAGAGAATCGTCCACTATGACTAAATAATTGCAAGGTTATCTATCTTGCAAGAAACGGATACTGTACGTATCGTATGATTTCCTTTTAGGCCATGCTGTGTACAATTTCAATTCTACATTATAATTTAGCGTTAATTTCAATTTCGCACTCTCTTTATTGTACAAACTTTATTTTACAGGTGTTTGGCCTTTCCAGAATAACAGAAGAAGCATTCTTTTTCGAATTAGTACAAGATTTGACTATAAGAATTACGTTTTGATCCAACTAAATCGTGGTTGCGAGCAAGTTCAACAGTAAATTCGAAAAGAACAAAAAGGTAAAAGAAAAAGCAAAGCGATCTTCATGTTAGTTTAAACGTCAGACTTTTTCAATTTTTTTTTTAAACTTTATTTATTGATGAAACAAATAATTATAATTAAGACAGGTCAAAAGAGAGCAGATCCCCATTATTTTTATCGTCCTGTCTGAATTTTTCAATGGTGAATCGTCTTATAGAGCTTTTCTAGGGCTACCAAATGGCATATTCAACCGGTCCATATTCAGTCAAACAGTGACGTAATATTCACTTTCAAATTTCAGTTAGACATGTCACTATAGACAATTGAATATCCTCTACAAAACTAACCGTCATTACGATTTTTACAACCCTTCTCCATGGTATTATACAAGATTGATCGTTCAAAGATTAAAAACTCATTATTGTTGCCTAATCAAGAATCGAAATCGTTTTTCTTTTCTCTCTACGATGTGTCCATGCTGAATGTTAGCGAAAAAAAATTTCGTCGAACACTTTTTCGGCTAAATATTTGATTTCCCTCCTATTTACGACGATAGTGATATGATACATTTTAACTAAATTATTCGGGGAAATTAAAATAAGTAACGCTTAGTTAACTCACTTTATACGCTAGAAAATAATCTTATACGTCATTTTTTTCCATTATGAACAATGATAATTTCACAGCTTCAATGTTTACTCATTTTGGCAACTTGATTTATCACAATACAAAAATATTTAACTGTCCCATCTTTTTAACTGTTTTTTATTTCAGATGATAAAGACTTTAAAAGTCACTACTTAAAGCTCAATTTCACTTGAAAAACGCGTTTTATTTGTCTCATCTAAATGCATTTTACTGAACGCGTTAGGGAAAGCTTGCTGTTCGCTTTACATAATGCTTAAAACGTGTTGTTTCTGTACCTAAACAACAAACACGTTTAAGCGTGTCTGTTAAGTCGGGTACAATTTAATGCTCTAGTCCTTTCCTTTTCTTTAGTATTTAGTTTTCTATTTTTTGTCTTACCTCTCTACACATGTGTGTACTTGATCTTTTAGTATCATACTGACTGTGGTCTACTTTTCGTCTCTCTCTATTTTCTTTTTTCTATTTCGTCTATTTTATTTCGTTCATGTATTGTTTTTTTCTCGTGCAGTTGTGATCACTATTATTCTAGGTCTATATAGTGCATCATCCGTAACTATCTCTTTCTAGTTTTTGCTTTTATGTCACATGTCTTTGTTCTTTTCGATATATATATATATATATATATAAGAAATCATACATTTTTACTGTGTGTTAGACTGTTTTTAGAGTACAAAGTTAGTAAGTCGACGGATCAGTTAGTGGTCTCCTTACTTCTTGTAATCCTTGTACATGTATTTTTCATTTATTATTTTAAATATACTACATATAGTGAATAGGCACTTTGTTTAATTTACGATACTGAGAGAGTTTTCTTGTCTCACTTAACTAAAGAATCCGGGCTTACGTCTAGGAAAAGTCGAAAGAAAAATTAAGTGATGACAGTGTCACCAAAATTATGTAACAGTTCAAACATATTATAATACATTAAAGTTACACTTAATTCTCGTAACGCGTGTTTGAAATTAACTAGCGCTTTTTAACATTTCCCAGATTAAAAACGCGTTTACGAACCAGAATAACACTACTAGCACGCGACTCAAAATCAATAAGAATATATTTTTCTGGGTCAAAGTTTGCTAAAACGTCATTTTGCATCTCCAGACGTGTCATAATGCTTTGAAAGTTTTGAAAAATTTCCAGACGGATTATGAACGCATTGTAACTAGGGGTGTTAATTTAGTGTTACTTTGGAAAATAAATGTAAATGAATCATTTACACTTAGAAAATAAATACAAATTCGTCATTTATATTTAGAAAATAAACGATAAGAAGTGCAGGAAGAAAAAAAAGTTAGTGAATAGGTCACTCTTCTGTAAGTCGGACAAAACCAGCATATGGCTTTCTTTACTTCTAAATATGTACATAGGTGGAATCATACGACATTTATTAAACTTTGAATCAAGAGTAAAGAAAAGCCAAAAATGAGATGTTGGTGAATCATGTTGTTTACGATTTCTACTGAGTAAACATTGTATCCATGATTGTAGCTGTGTTCCTTTCTGTTAGTATACAAGCCCAATAACACAGAAGAGCGTATACACTAGCTTATATTTTCGAAGCACACGTTGGTTTTTTCCAATAAAATGTTCTGCTTCGCCCTTGCTTTTTTGGGAACAGAAGTCGGCATACTTTGGAACAAATATCTGCTATTCTTTTCCGGAAAGTAAGACCTTACGTAGTTATCTTCAGTGCATTCAGCTTTAGTCCAGTTCAGGGCTATATGTAAAATGACACAGAGCGAGTGAAAGAAAGTCTTCCGTCACCCATGTTATTAACATCAGAAAAATTTCTGCTACACAAAACAGATTGCTTACTTTTCTCAGCAAATAAGAAGATTCTATACAAGTAATAAGAGTGGCTACAAAAAAGATTTCTGTCATATCAAGCCTGAAGACTAAAGTCCGGGTATCGAAACTTTTCGAGACTCGAGACTTCTCGTCTTGGTTCATGTCTAATCAGCGCAAATGCTCTTTTCCTTTTTCTTAAGGCCTGACTTTCGAAAAATACTTACTTTCCGAAACAAATCCAAAAGTAGTTTCAATAATATCAGGAAATAGAGCAAACATTTCCGATCAAAATGAGATATCTCCCAGCTCTGAATGATGTTCTGATCAAGAGTTATGAGAATTTTGCAGAAAGCCCTAAAATATGCATCAGATACTCGCGACACCACATCTCGAAAGCGACTTTCGCGGTAACACCGGTTCGTAGTTGCAAGATTCTCGGTAACGAAACATCAGAAAAAGACGGACCTTAAAGTTCTATTAAGCACCAGAAATCAGTAAACGAGAAATTCGAAAATCGGGCTCTGTCAACTCCTAGCCATAGGTGTTTACTGCAAAACAAAAACAACCCCAGTTGTCTATCGTTTACTGGAATGAAAATTCTTGCAAGCGATAGATGCCTGTTTCTAGCCCTTGTTGTGTAGCCCTCCTACGAACAGTTGCAGGAGCCGCCTAAAAACAATTTTGTTACCACACTTTGACATGGTCAACATTCCCCGATAGTTTGATCAGATCAGACAGGCTTTAAGTTGAAAAAAACCAACGTGTGCTTCGAAAATATAAGCTAGTGTATACGCTCTTCTGTGTTATTGGGCTTGTATACTAACAGAAAGGAACACAGCTACAATCATGGATACAATGTTTACTCAGTAGAAATCGTAAACAACATGATTCACCAACATCTCATTTTTGGCTTTTCTTTACTCTTGATTCAAAGTTTAATAAATGTCGTATGATTCCACCTATGTACATATTTAGAAGTAAAGAAAGCCATATGCTGGTTTTGTCCGACTTACAGAAGAGTGACCTATTCACTAACTTTTTTTTCTTCCTGCACTTTTTATCGTTTTGCTTGAAAATAGTAAAAGGAGAATTTCTTTTAATATATTAGCCATATTTTTGCTTTATTCTGAATAGGAATTAAACAGAAGTGTAGAAGCAGATAAGGAAGAAGAAGTTGTTTGGTTTCACGAATCGTTAATAAAAAGCAACAGATTTACAAGGTAAGATGTCACTATGGCTTTTATGTATAACTGACTCTTCTCTTAGCTAGCAGCTTCTCTTCGCTACGTACTTTAAAATTACTGTTTTGAACTTGGGCACCGAGAAGTCATGTAATAACCTTTGGCAAGTTATTCATGTCCGTGTTAATAGCATTCTTACTACATTATGAAGTGCAACATAGTTTGTCTAGCTGGCCGGAAAGCTAGTCGGTGATCCTTTAGGGATGGTTCTCTATTCCGAAATGTAAAATTCCCCCTTATCACTTGAGAAATAGCTAAAGAAATAGAGATTTTCAAAAAAGAAAAATTTCTTCCATAATTGGAAACTGACTGACTCTAGATATATTTTTCTAAAGAATAAAAGAACTGCAAGGAAAAACAAAAAGAAAGTTAATAACGTTTTTTATTTGACTCCACAAACTTGTGAATGAAGGACCGAACCAGTTGTTCGAGGGTACTTCGGGTGCTCGGAAATTTGCTTCCGATGGATCTTCACCAAGGGTTCCAACCCTCGGAAAATGACACTTCAGACCCTCGAAATAAGCTTTCGAGGGGTACTTCCGAGCCCTCGTCGCACTCTCGAGAGAGCGAGGGCTCGGAAGTCCCGAACATCGCACCGTTGGGCGACGAAGGCTCGGATGTCCCGAACATTTCTGTTCGACGGTTCGAAATTTTTGCTCGAGGGCTCGATACCTATCTGAAATCTGAGAACTTGAAATCGATACCTGTCGAACGCTTACATTGAGGGTCCGAAACGTCATTTTCCGAGAGTTCGAGCTCTCGGTGAGGGCCTGTTTTCGAGTACTTGCCGCACGCCTCGAACGACTTGTTTCATCTGCGCGAAACATCCCATTTTGTAGAGAAATGTTTGGACTATCATTTAATATAGGTAGACATATTTCAAAATTATCTGTAATACAAATATGAGCATTCTAAAATGCACTAAATTCAGAAGAAAAACCTATTTCAACAGTTTCTCCTTCTGACTTGGGCTTGGGCGGTTCCAGTTCCTATAGTTCTTAAGAACTGATCACCAGTTCAGTTCTTGTTAAACGAGAACTGGAACTCTCCCACCCCTACTTCTAACCTTAATGCATTTTCCAATGTTTACATTTTTGTTAGAAATAAATTGAAATATTTTTATAGTTGAGCTTTTAAGAGCAATGAGATGTTTTGCGGCTATGAGTAACCCTTCAGCTTAAATTCTTTGTCGAAGCCCTAACACCAGTTTTTAACTGGTGCATGCCTATGTGCTTGTCACTCAATCAAGCTATACCCTTAAATTCTTATTGTTTCTATTCATTTCTGATGATGGTTTAGACTCTTTAGATTTTCATGGCTACTTCTGCTTTAGAAACCACTATGAGCTTTTGAACAGTGACATAGATAAATTTATTTAGAGCACAGAGACAGTGATATATGCTTTAGACCAGAAACAGATTTCCAAAAGCCTTCAGTGTTTTTCTTTTTTCTCTCAGTTTTTGTTATAGAAAGCTTTTGAAACGCAGACAACGAGAATAATCCCGAATGGCGAAATCTCACGGCGAAGTCGTATATAATAGAAAATAAACCTTAAAATACTTGGATTGTGACAGTTACATAAAGAATAACGACCTCAGTCCAGTTCAAACTTCAAAACTGGGAACAAAGTCTATCGGATAAACTCCACAAATGTAAGCTGAAACTTCGTTTTGTTAATCAAAACTGAAAATGAAAACTGCGAAACGAACATTGAAGTGAAAAAGAAGATTACTACTAATGAGTACCTGCCCTAACCTTTGACTAGAAAACTTAAATGATACAAAATATTTCAAACGATGGATAGCAAAAACAACTGTTAACTGGTAGTATCATTGAACTTCTACATAACTGCTGTGCATCTTACTTCAGAATTTCAATCCTTTCAACGACACATCAGTTATGTAGAAGTTCAATGATACTACCAGTTAACAGTTGTTTTTGCTATCCATCGTTTGAAATATTTTGTATCATTTAAGTTTTCTAGTCAAAGGTTAGGGCAGATACTCATTAGTAGTAATCTTCTTTTTCACTTCACATGATCATTTCGCAGTTTTGATTGACAAAATTGCTGTTGAAGTAGAGAAATTCTCGTTGAAGTTCCCGTAGTACTCGTGTAAAAATGAAATTCCTATGCAGTTTTGATTTTGAATAACAAAGAATTTTTTGACAAAGGACAGAAATTCTTGTGAAAAGGGAGTACCGCCGAGTACCCACCGCGCCCCTCGAGCAACGTTTTTCATCTGCATGGGAATCTAGCGAAAAGCTGAATAACTTTTCTTAACCTGTTCGTCTTCTCTTTAACTTCGTTCCTATAGACATAGTACGATAGACTTTGTCGCCTCGCAATGCCAGGAATTGCTGTAATTTTAAACAATTCTATTTGTTTAATAAAACAACTAAAGCAAATTTTCTATTTTTCAACTGGTAGGAGAATAAATACGAACGTCGACTTAATATCTTACAAAGAAATGCAGCATGACTTATCAAACCGACCGTTCAGCATCTGTGGTAGCTATGACTGTTTGAAGCCAGCACTGCACGGTAAGTTGAGCATGTTTTCTTCCCCCGCTGCATTATGACTCATGCAAACTTAAAAGATTTCTCAGCAGATAATTGCGAGAACAGCAGAGAGAACGCGATAGCATCTATGGTGACGAGCATAGTGAAATATCGATATCTGACTATTCATGCTCATTACGTTGAGAATATAGAATAGTGCTTAATACTCTTAACAGTCATATCTGAAAAAGAGGATGTGCTTAGCAAGAGCACTGATTCACTTTCCTTATGCTTCACAGAATCTCTCCATATGATAGCGGCGAAGGACAATAAAGCTTTATTTAAACGTGTCACAGTTCGGTCGCTTCCAAACGAATTGATTCTTGAAATCTTCAAATATCTTGACGATTCTGTTATCCTACAAGCATTCCTTGGGCTAAACGATCGGTTCGATCGACTAGTCGCCAGCCTACAACTTTACTTGGACTTTCGCACCATCAGCAAATCCAGTTGTGACTTCATCTGCGAACATTTTCCATTAACAGCACAACTTCGTTCTTTGTGTTTATCTGAACAGACTTGCGAATATGCTGACCTGCTGTTCAACTGTTTCTCCAAGACCACAGTGGCAAATCTTCGCGTCTTATCGTTGAGCAACAGCCAACGGAAACAATCGATTGAAGTCGTGATGACACACTTATCTTCTATGACACAAATATCCTCATTGACACTGTCCACGCAACTGTATTACTCTGATAGCTCAGATTTTGAGAACTCCTTCGAACGAGCTACGGCCATCCTCGTGGAAGAGTTGAAAATGAACAACACCCTCACTCAACTCGATCTTCGACAGAACCAAATATCTGCTAAAGAAGGGAAAGCACTGGCTGAAGCGCTGAGCATAATACAACTCTAACTCAGCTTAATCTTTCGTGGAATCACATGTCTGATGGAGGAGTTGAAGCACTGGCTGAAGCACTGAAAATGAACAAAACCCTCATTCAACTTAGTCTTCAAGGAAACCAAATATGTGCTCAAGGAGGTGAAGCATTAGATGAAGCGTTGAAGGTGAATAACATTCTCAATCAACTTGATCTTTCTTGGAACCAAATATCTGTTCGAGGAGGTGAAGCATTGGCTGAATCATTGAAAACGAACAACACTCTCACTCATCTTCAAAGAAACGAGATATCCGCATACGGAGATGAGGCACTGGCTGAAGCGTTGAAGGTCAATAACACTCTCATTCAACTTAATCTTCAAGGGAACGGAATATGTGCTGAAGGAGGTGAAGCGTTGAAGGTGAATAAGACTCTTGCTCAACTTAATCTGCGACGGAACAAAGTATCCGACAGAGGCAATGAAGCTCTAGCAGAAGCGTTGGCGTCCAGCAACATTCTCACTCAACTTGACCTGTCTTGGAACCACATATCTGATAGAGGAGGTGAAGCACTAGCTGAAGCGTTGGCATTCAACAATATTCTCACTCACCTTGACCTTTCTTAGAATCGAATAAATGCTCAAGGAGGGGAAGCACTGATAGTGGCCTTAAAAGGAGATGAACGAGTCATTATGTAAAGTGATTTAGAAGTAGAATGATTTGATTTTACTGTTGATGTTTAACCCGCCTTTGTGTGTTTTTAGCGCGTGATTGCAGCCTGCATTTTTTCTCTTGTTATTAGCTAACATTCAACATGAGTCGAAGCATTTAGGACATAATGCAATTATATGAGCTTGATCGAGCACCTTGTATTGCCGGCAAGGCTGAAGATAAGACAGCAAGAGGAGCTTTTACATTCTTTTAGCTCCCTGCATAAAGCAATTAAATTATAATAAAGATAACCGATGATGCTTCAAACAGGAGTCATTTAACTGTAGCTGGTGAACGCCGGGTACAAGAAAAGTGTTAGAAAAACCAGTTTTTCTATTCAGCCTTTTATCCTGATGATGTTTGTGCTGTTTATTTGGGCTCGTTAACAACCGTAATACAATGTCTGTGAGTTAAGTAGCTTGTAAACCACTTAAATAGATTATCCGATACTCATTTTACCTTCAATTTTTACAGAAGTACGCCGTACTTCTGTAAAAATTGAAGGTAAAATGAGTGTGTGTAAATGAACTATGTGTGTTCCTACTAGTCTCGTCTAACATTACTGTAAAAAATCGCGCTTCTTTCACTTGAGCAATAATCTGTTGAGAAATTAAATCATTAATACACGAAATAATGATATTTTGTGTCGTTTTACTAATATACGTTGCATTTTTCGACGCTGTTTCTAGATGTTTTTGTAAAACTGAATCTCCTCCACTGATACGATATTGAAGGAGAGCTCTAAAATTCCCTTCATTTGTCAGCGAAAAACACTCTCTTCTGTTGGCATATTTAAAGCACCATCGTCGCGATGCCCTCTCATTGTTATATTTTGTTTTCCACNCAGTTTCTACGATAGGTCTCAAGCGTTTCCTATTTTGTTGAATTTGATCTCGAAGTTGATTATCGAGAAGCGCCTTAGGTGAGAGTGATTTATTACATTACTTACATTACTAAGAAAGAACCGAATACATAGCAAAATCTCTACAGCTTTTTTATACCTGAATACTAATTAAGGGGTTTTCATACGTTTGCAGAAAATTTTCCGCATCAACAAGACTTTTTTGATGATAACGATTACTTTCATGAACGCCAACATAGCCGGTCACACCAAATAATCTATAGTAAACAAGTGCATAAACAAATGAAACAGCTAAGAAATGGAGAGAAACTTGCCTCGTATAACTATCACACGGTGTCGTTACAAACATTCCTAGCGATCCAGAAGAGGAAGCGGCTAATAGTGCACAAGGTACACAAAAAAGACCACGTTTTGAGGGAGAGTATTTCATCCACTTGTACTTCGTCAAATGCTCAGCACGTAAATATCGCTTTTCCGTTCTGTTTTTTGATTGTCTCTCCGCATAGGGCCAGACAAAGTTTGATGATGGTAAAAAATGCTTTGATAATAGACGATAACGTGTTTCGTCATCAATTGTTTTTCCAGTATGTAAACCAACATCATTTTCGATATGAGGTATATTTTCTGGATTATTATTATGAATAAGTCGTATTAGACCATCATTTCCATTGTCCTTAATGATGTCACTTGTTGTTAATGGAACATCATTCAATTTAATATCAGTTTCACTCTTTTTCTCTGTCGAAACGTTATCAATACAAGGATCACCTTGTTTTTGTTTTTGGAGAAATACGAGGATAATACAGTTTGATTAAGACGTTTATTAGAACTGATGTCAAACATGTTACTGATAGAAAGAAAAGGCAGTGTACACAGAGAGAAAAATGACAATGATCTCGTTCCAAAATGCTATATATGTATATGTATATATTCTATACATACATATAAGGGGATATGATGAATTAAAACTCGGACAAGGTCACAAAGGAAAAAGAAATGTACTAACTGCACAGTATACTAAAAAAAGACTTACTAACTGAGCAATATACAAAGAATACTGGAGAAAAAAAAGGTACGAGCGGCCGCTCGTACCGCTCGCGGGCTGGATCCGCCCCTGGGCAATAGCTCTTATCGACACCCTAAGAGAGTGGCAATAGTGCTACCCTTTAATATGTGTATCTAATACTTTAGCAACTTCACGTTTAAAATCCATCGTAGCAGCACCAGTAAATGTATAGGCAAAATATTCTGCACACAGTTTATACTTATCGTCAATATAATCCACAGTTTCAGCCAAAATGGAAGTATCAATTAGTAATCAATGTGATCTGAATCATCAATCGTTGGATCTAGTCTGTGCTGTGATACAACAGTACCGTAGCGATTTATATAATGCTATTAAAAAGGCGTTATACGATGGTGTTCTACAGCATCCTGATGGCCTGGCCAGCTAACTCTACCTGCGTATGCAATTCCGTGACGTTTTTCTATGATTTTGTTTTATTTACAGAAATTTTTGAAAAAGTCAGAACTCAAAAGTAAATAAACCATTTTGTAGATAATTTAATTCTCTATCGACTGACCTGATTTTGAAACGTTTTAGCGAAAATCTCTTGGTTAGGAAATTCAAAACAATGAGAGCCGCTTTACTAATTTTATAAGAAAGATATGCAAGAAGTAGCTCTTAGTGTTCTGAATTTCCTAACCAAGAGATTTTCGCTAAAACGTTTCAAAATCAGGTCAGTCGATAGAGAATTAAATTGTCTACAAAATGGTTTATTTACTTTTGAGTTCTGACTTTTTCAAAAATTTCTGCAAATAAAACAAAATCATAGAAAAACGTCACGGAATTACATATGCAGGTAGTGTTAGCTGGCCAGGCCGCTGAACTACAACAACAAATGCAACAAAAACAACCGGGTTTCATTCTCAATAAAGATGAATTTCCGGTTTTAAACCTTACAAAAAACAATCGTAATAGCTTATAGCAAGATGACCTATCAAGTTCTCAACTGTTCACCAATTGAAAGATTTTGAGTTAAAATTTGAGAAACAACTTTTCCAAACTACGTGTAGGCGACACCACTATCTCTGGCCAGAAAGAGATAACGAAAAATTTGTTTAAATATTATTCAGAACAATTCTCAGCACCCTTTTGTGATCCTAACAACCTAGATGATACACAGTGCAACGTTGAATACGGGGAAACTATGACAAAACTAGCTTCATGTTCAAATACTGTAGCTCTAACTTCAGTTTATGAGATTAATAACTTAATAAGAGCCTTAAAACCAAAAAAATCAGCAGGTTTTGACAACATATCAAATTTGATGATAAAAAAACTACTACCTGGATTTATCGACTGTTTGTGTTTTTGTTTGAACGAATGGCTGTCTAAAAGTATATTTCCTCACGAGTGGCAGCTTGCAACAATTGTAACTTTGAATAAATTAAAATCAGATATCCCCTCCTGCGAATACACTCGACCAATATCCCTATTACCCACACACTCAAAACTGTATGAAAAAATTAGTCTTAAAAGAGTAAAAGACTGGGTAGACTCAAACAGTATTGTGCCTCCGGAACAATCCGGATTCAGAGAAAATGAACTACTTCAAACACGTGTTCTGTCAATCTATCAGGAGATAAAAAATAAACTTGCAGCCTTTTTGAGAAAAAAAGCCTGGAAATGAAAAACCGCTTTATCGTCGCTCATACTTTATTGACTGACTCAGTCAACAGTGTCTTTCTGTCTTATCCCACTCATACTGTTTTCTTCTAGACTAGGTGGTCTTCTATTATGTGGAGGGTTTAGTAAATTCCGTGTAAAACAACGACAACACTAAAAAGCACACGAATTTGTCGACCATTTGTTTTATAACGGGCAAATAAAATGTGCATGAGTTATATTTAAGTATAATATAATCAAGAAAAATAACTTATGTTTCTGTTGTGGAGGTGGTGGTTGTTGTTAATGATGAACTAAATTAGAAAATGATAAAAAACCATAGAAGGTTTAGAATTCGGGAGCAACTTACGTCGAAATACATAAATTATCCATTGCAAACTCAGATGAGCCATCGGTTGAAAGTGTGATGGTATCAATATTCAAATAGTTTAATTCGATTAATTGTTGCCATTTCGTATATAATGGATATGTTGCAGCGTACAATTGTTTTGATAAACGCTGACCAATCATTGTTAATCTTAACTGATTTTGGGAACCAGAAGCAGCGACAAATGAATATAAATTAAATACATTTGGGGGATTAGCACTAATCGTCATGGTTAATCCATTTTTATTGAAGGCAATATATCCGCTTCGAAGTGCTGTGTAGAAACCACTTGTGTTATAATGTGGGTAGGCAGTCAGATTCATCACATGAAAATTATTCCATTGTACACCGATATAATCAGAAGGTATTTCAGCTAACGATTCAATTGTTATGTCATCGAATGTAATCAGATTTGAATCGGAACAATCTACAAAAATTTTGTTAAGCTCCTTCGTATTATACAGAGAACTTAACGCTGTAGAAGAGGAAGTGTGAAAGTTTGAAGCGAAAAAACCCGACACATTGAGATTTTTAACCCTTTCCGCTTATCATGTGCTTCAACGAGAAGTATTCTGGAGACAACTGGATCTTGCTAAGGAACTGTGCCCAGGGATTAAGCGTTTCAACTGTGGAATTCTTCTTCTAATATGCAATTGACCCTACTGATTATGAATATAAAGTCTGTTTTGGCTCGATTTCAGTTCCTCAGCCGAAATTCAAAAATCTGACTTCAAAGACCCAAAAATTGAAATTGTTCAAAAACGTTTCTGAGTCAGCCGTTTGTACCCCGCGTCAAACTACCTTTAACCGTAATTTTTGCGCTTACCAATTGAGTTTTACAGGAACTATGAATTTTTTTCCAATGATACGGTGCTTACATATAATGCCAAAAGGAAGAGAAAAGATAAAGTGGTTACAACTTGTAGTAATGAAAATGTTAATTTGTTTCAAAGCATCGTGGTGGACGATTAATACTTTTTAGTTACAAGTTATTCTCCTAACTAACTTCGTGTGAACTATCGACAATCTCAAAATGATCCAAAGACTATCGTATATTATTTCTACTATGTAGCAGGAAGTTTATCTGGTTAGATGGTGAAAATTTGGTACGACAGCGTTAAAGCTATTTTTGCCATGTCAGCAGTGTAACTTAGGGACAACGGTATTGGAACTTGTTTTGATTTTAGCTTCCAATGTAACTTAACGGTGAATTTCCGTGTTACTTCCCGATTCAACTTTTATGTTCGTGCTCGCTGTCTTTATGCTCGTCTTATGTATGTGCTCTTTCCTCAGTTCGCACCCTTGAATTAAGAAATACGAAAACTAAAAACATCTGACATGAATTACGGGTCTAAACTCTGCAGAAGATTAGTGACTTGGCCAGTATCATTACAGAAAAAAGGCCAAGGAGTGGTGGTTGGGTCACTAAGCAGAGTAAGGACAACTTTTACTTTCAAGTGTTGAAATCAGCATCAGCAATAACGTATGAAGCCTTTCACTTTTGTATTTTCTAAGAAATAAGGTTTTCTAGAGAACAGGTTCCCCAGAAAATCTTCTGAAAGCTTTTAAAAATGCTTTTTATGAATAAAACAAAAATTAGAACACTCGAAAACCTATGAGAAATAATTTTCTTACCATTCCAGACATTTCTATTCCGATAGATAAAAAATATTTGCATATAGAAAA